CTGAGGGCACCTGGTAGCATGGATGGTCAGAAGGTTCAAGGGGTGAGTGAGTGATGCGAACTGCAGTGCGTGCTTCAGACGTGAACACGGAGCTGCAGGTGGGAAGGAAGGGAAGCAGCTGAGCTGTCAAGCCCAGGTAAGGAGATTAGTTAGACGGAATGCAGTTGCCTTAGCACTTGGAGCTACAGCTCTAACTTCTCACCGTTCTGCTGATCGGTTCCATGTGTTGTGTCTCTGGAAGGTATGTATGTGTTAACATTAAATTAGAATACTCAGGCTTCCTTAAATGCTCAGAAAAGTGTTCAGGTGTGTGCATACCAAGGTGCTGACTGTGGTCTTTCTGTGTGGTAAAGAGTATGGGTGAGGGGTGGTATGGTAGTTAGTCTGTATGTTCTAATTTTTCCACAATACACATGCATATCTTTTGAAATAGGTGCTTTGTTTTCAAAATATATTTAGTATTGGCATCAGGGGAAAATTAAGCATATTTACAATTATTTAATCTGTTAAAAATTGACCCACATGGGACTTCCCTGGCAGTCCAGTGGCTAAGACTGCACTCCCACTGCAGGGGACACGGGGTTCGATCCCTGGTTGGGGTAAGATCCCACCTGCCGCTCAGTGCGGCCCCCCAAAAAAGAGATTAAAAAAAACTGACCCACGTAACATTTCACATGTTAACGTAAACCTTGGAGTGCAGCTTATGGAATAGAGGTTTCTGACACTAAACATTACATAATTTTAGTTAAGTCTGTGAGATTCATCCATTTACTGCCATATGTATTGGCAGTTTATTCTTTTTTATTACTTAAAAATATCACAATTTATGTATCTAGTGTATATTGATGAACATTTGGGTTTTTCTAGCTTGGGGCTATTATGAATAAATCTCCTATGACATTCTTGTTCATGGGGTTTTTTTTGAGGATGTAAGTATGCATTTCTGTTGAGTATATATCAAGGAATAGGATTATATGTATGTGTAGCTATAGTAGGTCCTATCAACCAGTTTTCCAATGTGGTTGTACCAATTTATTCTCCCACCAGCAGAGGAGGTCCAGTTCTTTACATTCTCACCCACGTTTCACATCATCAGTCTTTTTTACTCTTAGGTATTCTGGTGGGTAAGTAGTGGATTCACGGTGTGGTTTTAACTTGTGTTTCTTTGATGCCTAATGATGTTGAGCACCTCTTTATCTGTTTATTGACCATATGAATATCTGCACTTGTGAAGTGTCCAAGTCTTTTGCGCACTTAAAAAATAATTTGTGTTGAGATATGATTGCACACAATATAAAACTCTCTATTTTACAGCATACATTTCAGAGGTTTTTAGTATATTCACAAGAATGTACATTATCTAATTCCAGAACATTTCCATCACCCCAAAAAAGAAATCCTGTATTCACTAAGCAGTCACTCCCAACCCCCTCTTCCCCACCTATTGGTAACCTCTAATCTACTTTCTGTCTCTATGGATTTGCCTGTCCCAGACTTATCGTATAAATGGAATCACAATCTGTGGCCTTTTGTGTCTGGCTTATTTCACTTAGCATAAAATTTTCAAGGTTCTTCCATGATACAGCACATATCAGAACTTCATCATTTTTCATTGCCAAATAAGAGTCTACTGTATGAACACACCACATTTTCTTTATCCATACCTCATTTGATGGATATTTTAGTTGCTTCCACTTTTTGTGTTAAATGCTGCTACAAATATTCATGTATACATTTTTATGTGAACATATGATATATCCAGGAGTGAATTTGCTTGGTCATTTGGTAACAACTCTGTTTAACTTTTTGTGTAACTGCCAAACTGTTTTCCACAGAGGATGCACCATTTTACATTCCCACCAGCAAAGTCTGAGGGGACTTTTGCCCATTTTTAATTGGGTCAATGAAGCATTATTTTTGAAGTGAAACTGGTGATATCCTATATATCCAACAGTAGGAGGTTGGTTTATTAAATTATGATACTCCATTACTCCATAGGATAAAATAATACTGAAGCTATTACCAAAAAACAGATAGCTCTGTAGGCACTAACACAATAAAGTTAGGTGAAAAAGCAAGTAGCTAACAGCCCCATTTATATAACTAACAAAGCTTTGTCTATGGCATCAGAAAAGTCTGGAAGAATAGCCATCTAACTCAGGGAATTGAGTGCAGGGCAGATAGTGGGGATTTTCACTTTTGACTTTCTATCTTGGCACTGACTTTTTAAAAATAATCATGGGGTAGTGGGGGTTTTGGTGATTTTTTGCAACATCTATTTAAGTGAAACATTTCAAAGAAATTTTGTGCGTGCCTTAGGGTTAGGGAACTCCTACTGCAGAACAACTTCATGTCAAAACTTGTTAAAATGGGGTATTTTTATCTTTTTCTTGTTAAAATGCCCATTAAAGCATTTGCTCTAGCTTGAAAACTTCCCTCATCATAAAAAGGATTATTGTCAATAAGTACAATAGAATATACTGAAATTAAATTTAGCCCATGTTATAAATATAAATGAAAAACACCAGGATGTAAAAATATAAACAGTGTACATGATCAGTATGACCCCTGGTCCTAAAAATCTATTCTTGCATACGCCGAAATGTGAAAAGGAGTCTCTCTGGGCAATGGGATTTTAGGTGATTGTTTTCTTCCTTATACCTTTCTGATTTTTCCAAACTTTCTACAACAACCATGTATAATGTTTATAGTTTTAAAATACTATAATCTTCCAACTTTAGTTTGTAGCTTGCCCATGTTCAACCAACCAGATCTAAGATGCTAGCTATGCGATATGATTTAAGGTTGATATAATTCAAAATTTGTAGTCTCCATTTAAAAATTGGTGTTTTCCAAGAATATGCAATGACATGCAAAGGCAAAAACACTATTAAGCAAAAAACTAAAGTTCAAAATTGCGTATGGCATGTAATTCCAATTTTTTTAATGTATACACATAGGTGCTTATGAAAATACTAGAAGAAAACATAAAATGCTAACACAGGTCAGTTATTTGTTAGGACAGGGCATGTAGGTGATTGATTTTCTTTCTTCATGTTCCTCTGTTTCCAATTATTTATAATGAACATGTACAGCTCTTATAATTTGAAAAAAATTTAAAGTTCAGTTTGGGAGAAAAAAATTATCTCTATCCAGATTTGGAATATTGGCAATTTTTCTTTTCTTTTTAATATTCATTGGAGTATAGTTGATTTACAATATTACGTTAGTTTCTGCTGTACAGCAAAGTGAGTCAGTTATACATATACATATATCCACTCTTTTTTAGATTCTTTTCTCATATATGCCATTACAGAGTATTGAGTAGAGTTCCCTGTGCTATACAGCAAGGTTCTTATTAGTTATCTATTTTATATATAGCAGTGTGTATATGTCAGTCCCAATCTCCCAATTTATCCCTCCTCCCCCCTTATCCCCTGGTAACCATAAGTTTGTTTTCTACATCCATGACTCTACTTCTGTTTTGTAAATAAATTCATTTGCACCCCCTTTTTTTTAGATTCCACATGTAAGCAATATCATACGATATTTGTCTTTCTGTGTGGCAATTTTTCTACTTCTCTCTTTGTAGGGGTCGATCTCCCATAATTCCTAGTCATCCTTCTATTCCTTCTGCCCTCGCTTCCTCGGGTTCCTCTCGCCTTCCATTCCTGCAGCTGCTACTCTGTCCAGACATTATTTCCTCTTTCCCAGAACATGTTAACAGTCTCTTAAACTAGTTGATTTTCCTGCTGTACTTTGTCTCTCTGACCTACTTCTGGAAGTGCAAATGCTGGAATAATCCACTTGAATGACGTCGCTCCCTTGCTGAATAAATCCACGGCTCACCTTCCTAATGCTATTACTTGGAGACCTCAGCACAACCTCATGACTGGCCGCCTTAGCAGGTTCGGGCAGTGGGGGGCAGGAGGTGGGCAACATTACTAGGCCCCCGGCACAGGCCAGGCTCAGGTGGGCAGGCCCTTTTCCAGTCTTTAACTCGCTCTTTGGGACAAAGCAGAAAGGCTTGATGGTCTAGCTCTGTGGTAAACGTTGTGGAGTCCCACTACATACAGATTCAGGCTCCGTCACTGACCTTGTTCTCATTTAATCCCTCAGCGTTTCCTCTGTGGTAACACGGATGTCCTTCCTCCCTCCCAGGGTGGCTGTGAGAGGTCAGGGACCAGCCCTTCGAGGTGATCAGTAGCTGGTTCCCTCCTGATCTCTCATCCTTACGGGACTGCCCTCTACTCCTTCGTTCCTCAGAGATCTCAAGAACTCCGCCAGCCGGCCCTTGGCTGTAGGAGTCCACCCCAACTCATGAGCTCCCCATTCTCTCCCCAGCCCCATGGTGACCTCTGCATGGTAGACGTTCCCCCTCAGCGGTGTCACCACTGCCACCTGCCCCACAAATACATCCCTCTCATTTTGGGCTCTTCCAAATGTTCAGACCAGGGCCCCAATATCTTTACACTCAGCGGTTCTCTTCTTTGCCCTTGACATGGCCCACTCTTTGGAACGTCTGTTAAATCAGCTCGGCGACAATGGCTGCTCCCTCCCACCTTTACCCCCTTGGCCTCCCTTTCCAACAGCGGCACCACGACCCCTCAGACCCCAGAGCATTGCTTTAGTTCACGCCTTCATCTCGTCTGAACTGTGGCCATAGGCTCCTCTCTGCTCTTTCCTCATCTGCAGCCTCATCCCCCCTCCCCTCCTTCCCCCCCCCCCCCAACCCGCTGCTGTGGTGGCAGCTGCTATGGCTGCTGCTATTGTAGCCACCCACAGGGCAGCATAACATCTGTGGAGCACTCACTGTATTCCAGCCTGGAGGTAAACACTTCCTGCGCTGTCCCTCATAATTCCCCTGGTACCCCTGTGATGGTAGATTCTAAGATACCCATTTGACAGACTAGCAAACAAAGATTCAGAGAGGTGAAGTTACTTACACAAACATCCCTTTTTCTTCACTCCCTCTTTTTCAGCTTCATCTTGGGTAAAAGATGTGTGATCAGACCTTTCTCGTTAACGTATTTGGCTCCTGTGACAAATGTTTCAAACAACGGGCTCTGAGACCAGTTTTCAAGAAATCTCAACAGCTCAGCTACTGTTCACCATGTGCAGAAATTGTAAGTGCTGCTCTTTAAAACTTTAAGTCATTACCTGTCTTTAAACAATGTCTAATGTGAGGGTCCTGTGACAGGTGGGTTACCAGAGAATCAGTTCACACACACACACACACACACACACACACACACACACATTTGCAGCACACCCAGGCTGGGTGAGACAGTATAGTGTGGGGATTTAGGATGTGTGCTCTGGGCTCTGATGCCTGGGTTCAACTCCCAGTTATGTTACTTGGAGGCCTTGTACCAATGGACCTCCCCTCTCCCAGGAAGTCTGTTTCCCATCTGTAAAACAACAATAATGGCATCTGTCTCATAGGGTTTTGGGAGAAACAAAAGTGAGTTTATTTGAGAAAATGTTTAAAACAATACCCAGCAGAGGAAGTGCTCAATAAATGTTTTAGCTTATTATTTTTTAGAGCTAATGCTTTTTTCTTCTGTCTTCTCCTAGTCTGCTTGGCAAGCAAGCAAGCTAAAAGAAACTCTGGTAAATAAACAGCCGGGGAGCACCTTCCCAAAGGCCCTGTTCCAGCTGTCCCTAGGAACAGCTCTGCAGAAGATTGAACCATATAGGGCCTCAGTATTTAGCAAAATCAGGCTCAAGGAAAAGTCCTCCTTGGGTCTAAGCCTTCAGCGAGGGTAGGCACTGAACACAAAACCTGGCACTTTTCAAAGTACACACATCAATCCTCACCAGAGATGGCTTTGCGCAGGCTTCAGATCTTGCAGCAGAGATGCCCACAGCCAGGCTGAGGCACTAGGAATATCCTGTCTCAGAGGATTTGCAAAGCCGTGTGGAGCCCCCACCTGGTCACAAGTGGTAAAGCACCCTTCCCCACAAGCTCAGTAGGAAATCCCGATCATGGACACGATGAAAAAACAAAAAACAAAACACACATCTAAGGGAGGAAAGATAACGTTGACATTTTATCCAGCTGAAGAGGAAAAACCGTATTCATCCTTTTGGTCCCACTGTAACCCCTGACAGTGATCACATTTAAAAAAATTATTCCTATAAAGCAAATTGCAAGTAAGCAGCCTCAGGTGGCACACAGGCTTTGGTAGAGCATAGCAATCCTGATGTCACGGGGTTCAGGCTCAGTGTGATGGGCTTCTACCTACAGCACATTGTGTTCTAAACTTGCATCTGCAAACTGCAAACTGAGGACATTCAGTTCTTAAAATAAACCTGCTTTTTGATGGCCCTACAGTTCTGGAGCAGTGCTATTTATTAATCCAGCTCTTCTTTTGAAACAACTTCCTCTGTGGACAGAAGGAGCCCAGAATCCCAGATGTCAGGTCCTCTGCAGCATCACAGATTCTTCCCAGGTCAGAACCCTGCCTGGAGATATTCTTCAGAGGATTGTCGCCAGCTATCTCCACCACAAGCACCTGGGGTTCCCAAATATTCAGACAGATTCTTCTGACTGTGCAGACATCCAAATGACTGACAGCTAACTTTTTAATCCAGGTGTTTGGGATTGTGTAGACACAGCCCCCCGTAGACACTTTTCACGGACAGGGGCAACCCTGTAACTCCACCACTGCTGAAACGTAGCAGATCTCAACTTTTCTGACCTCCAGCTTCCTCACTTACAAAAAGCAGTGAACAGCAAACTACAGGAAGGCACTTTGCAAACTTTGCCAGCCATTGAAAAGTTACATGGCCTCATCTCTAGATGGTAAACTCTCCAGATTGGAGGATGTTTGGGGGTTATTTTACGCAAAGAGCCTTCAGAGGAGGGCACACACCAGTATGAAGCTCCACTCACCCCAGGTCTTCACAAACAGGCAGCCCCTGAGGCAGACACACACATTCCACGGTGGGCAAAGAGGTGCCAGCCTGAGGAGGTGATGAGAGGATGCTGCTCTTCCCAGGTCTTCTGAGATGACCCTTGGGAGAAGTGTCCCCCATGATCCAGTGTCTCATTTAAATTACTTCCTGTGGATTGCTCAAGTGTACCAGGCAGCCTTAATGATAATGAGCACATACTGTATGCCACACTTCACTCTGAATGCTCTACATAGTCACTCCTGATGAGGATCCTATGAGGAAGGTGTTTCTGACACTGTTTCTGGGAGTGTGAACTCCCAGAGGCACTCTTCTGTGCCTCAGTTTCCTCATTTGTAAAATGGAGGTAACAGTAGTACCCATTCAGGGTGACTGTGGTGAGTTATTAATGTAAAGCACTTGGAACCATGCCTGGCACGAAAAGAGACTGGAAAGAACGGATCCTTGCGTCTGCCACAAAGTCACTAATTTGCTGCCTTGAGGGAACTATAGCAACCCTTCATTCTAAGGTGGCGGAAGCTGCCTCAGAAGTGAGAGTCAGAGATCACTGGGCAGGGGCTCAGAAGCCCCAAGTCTGGGTCCCTGTGTGTCTCTGGCCCCAGCACCACTTCCTTTTGCTGCCAGGGACTTAATTCCCGAGTGAATAAAAGAAAGGCAAAACTAAGAACGGGCAAAGACCCCACAAAGACCCCACAGCTTCTCAGAAGCCAGAACTAGCTTTGTATATTTAAGTCAATAAACGAGGAGAGTTTTCATTTCGTTATAGGGGGAGCATCAGAGCCACCAGGGGTCAGACCGGGTACCAGTGGCGCGAGCCAGGCCCCCTTAACCTCTCCTCTCTCGGCAGGCAGAAGCCACCAAGGAGGGGAGATGTGTGCGAGGGACTGGGGGAAAGGGGTGTTGCAAGGGCTGTGTCACTCGGACTTCCCCAAGCTCCCAGGAGCCGGGCAGTCCTGGGTTGGAATCCCAGCTTGGCCCTCACTAAGTGCGCGTCCTTCAGCAAGTCATGTATCTCCTCCTAACCTCGGTTTTCCTACCGCAAAATGGGCACGACACTCCCTGCGACCCCGGGTGCTGTGCGCTGCAGCGCTAACTCGGGCCTCGCCTAGGGCACTGCGCAAGGGCTCTGCGCCCGCGGACACGTCCGGGGAAGGGGGGAGGGGATCGGCCGCAGCAGCCCGGCTCTCAGCAGCCGGCGTCAGCGCCGAGGGGCGGGGCGCGCTCGGGGAGACGACTGGAGCTGCGCCGGTGGCGGCTCGGCGCGAGCTCGCCGGCCCGGCCTCCGCCGCCCGCTGACTCGCATCCCCGCTTCCCTCCCGCCGCGTCCCCGGCTCGAAGATGGCAACCGACGGGCTGCACGAGAACGAGACGCTGGCGTCGCTCAAGAGCGAGGCCGAGAGCCTCAAGGGCAAACTGGAGGAGGAGCGGGCCAAGCTGCACGACGTGGAGCGTGAGTGCGGGCCGGGGCGGGGCCGGGGTCTGCGCGCCGGGAGGCGGGCCGGGGAAAGGAGACCGGCTCCGGCTCCCAGGGGGATAGGGGGAGAGGATGGAGAGGGCCGACCCGGAGCCAGGCCCGCGCCACCGCCCTGGATGAGGGCCCCGGTACCCGGGCGCCACATGAGACGCGGGTAGCGGCCCGAGCCCCCGGACGCGCGGGTGGGGGACCCGAGACGGACGCTCGCGGGCTCCCGCCACCTCGCAGAGCCCCTGCCGGCTAGTGGAAGCCAGCCTGCCTCTGGGCGGGGGCAGCCCCTGGCCGCTGTCCCCCTGACGTTGGATCGTGGGACCAGTTACGGTCATCACCTGCCTTCCTGGAAGACGCAAGCTGATCTCTTCCCCAGCGGAGCGGGGTGGGCGGGGCGGGGGTTGGTTGTCAGCAAGGGCAAGCGCAGCGAGCTCTTGTGGACGCGGCCTAGGGTAAACTCCTGGGTTTTTTGGTAAGCATTTTACTTTCTCCATCACTGTTGTCTTTTCTCAGTTTTGCTTTTGCAAGGACCCAGACTCTGATATAAAAGCTCACTTTTCCAGTCCGAGAGTGGAGAGCCAGATGGGGGAAGGGAAGCAGAGGAGCTTACCAAATCCAAACATTTAGTTCCTTTAAGGCTGTTTAAGAAGCTTTTGGATGGATGAGGTGTGGTTAGCATAAAACAGCAGTAGCAGTCTTAAATAAACTTACATTATTGACCACGACCGTAATTCAGAACCGGTCTGTGACTTTTGTGAGTGAACAATTAAATAACCAGGTTACATGACTCTTAGTGGGATCAGCTTCCCTTTACTCTGTGGGATGCTTTATCCTCAGTAGTGCTTGGGCTCAGGCCAGGCTTGGGGAAGTGGCTTCATCTGCTTCCTTTTCAGCCCTGAGGGTGGCAGCTCCCCTTTGCTGAACAGGGCCTCCTCATGCATGGTGTTCTGAGGCACACCTGTACATTGTGCTCCTGCTATTTTGGTACCACCCCTCTACATTCACTTTGGAAAAGAAAGATGGGGTTTATGCTAGGTCCTTTAGCGCCTGATTCCTTTCTTTGAAAAAAAAAAAATCACTTGATAGAAGCAGGTGACCTGAATTTCAAATGTGCTGTGCTTTTGTAGGAGGCAGGCTAAGCCCCTGTATCATTTAGAAATGTATTCAGCTACAATTAGCTCTAAACCCCAAATGAAGTAATTAAGCAAATTGGGAGTTATTTTTTCTTAACAAGAACAAGGGTAGGCGATTGTCAGCTTTGGTTCAGCTGCCCGGTGTGCTATCAGGAACCCATGCTTCTTTTTTCTCCACTACCTCAGAGCACTGGCATTTGCCCCATGATTATAACTGCCACAGCGCCCAGCATCACCTCCGTATCCAGGGCTGGAAGAAGGGGGAATGTGGGCACCAGCTTCTGTTTCTCCTTCTTTTCAGGAAGGCAAAAGTTTTTTCAGAAACCTCCTTTCTCCCCAAAAGATTTCTGTTTGCACTTCATTGGCCAGAACTAGGTCACATGGCTACAGCAAGGGAGGCTGAGAAAGGGAGAAGTGAGCTGAGTACGCTGCCATCCCCAAACCAAGTTGGGTTCTGTTATCAGAGAAGTAGGGAATGGATAAAGGGTCTGCCCCATTTCCCTTTGCAGATTCCTACACTCTGCAGGTGATAGTGACGGATGCTGCAAGCATGGTGTTAGTGCCTCGGAGGTAGGTCGTCTGATTTCTCCATTTTACAGATGAGGAAACTGAGGCACAGAGAGGTGAAAGGACTTGCCGAAAGATCCCAGCTAGTACGTAGTGGACCCAGGATTCCAGCCCAGCCAGTCAGAGCTCCAGCCCATCCTCACTTCAGCTTTTTTGCCAAACGTCTTAGTGCTCAGTGCAGAGGGCATTCTCCCGAAACGCTCTGGAGAGTAAAGGCTGCCCCCTGGGATATTTTTCAGGCTTTTCTGTGAATCTGGTAAATTGCCTAAGGCAGAGAGATGGTCAAGATGCAGCTTTTCAGCAGGGAACCTCTGTCCTGCCAAGAATGCAGTGCTCTCAGAGGTCGGGGCCAAATTTTGGACCCACGGTGGAAGGATTTATCCCCACCTGCATATGTTAGAATTTTTGAGTAGAAAAGACCAGAAGCCATGTGGTCAGGGTCCCCTTTATTCCCTCTGTATCTTCCGGACCACTTCTCTTCCGCTCTCATGTAAAACCCTTGTTCCTTTGAGGCTCCGAGCATTCAACTGATCTCCCTCTCCATGCTGCTGTCTCCTGACCCCCCAGCCAGCCTCCCTCCTTTTTTGAGGACTATGGTACATGCCTCAAGCCTTCCTTTTGACCCTAAGCCCTGTACTATCCCTGGTGTCTTCGGGATCCACAAGGGTGAACAGGAGAGTCACTCCGTCACAGCCCCCCGGGATCTTGTAAGCACTCAGCACTGCTCCTCCTCTTGTGACCACAGTCTCTCCCACAGAGATCTCCATGATCCCTGGGCTGTTCTCTCTTCCAGTCTCTCAGCCTCTTCCTGAGCATTTGCGTTCTTACATTTTGGTGATGTTAAATCATAGGTTGCCCTGTAGCCCCTACCCTGGTCGGGGAAAGGTCTTTAGGCCGTAGCCAAGGTGACCAAGTCATCCTGGTGCACCTGAGACTCTTGGTTTTAAAATGGAAAGCCTTGCATACTGGGAAGGCTTCAGTCCTCGGCAAACCAGGACAGTTATTCAGCCTTCTGTTAGCTCTGACTTGCCCAAATTCTTGCTGTAAAAAACTCAACACAACAAAACTACAGAGCATAAACTTGAAGGAAAAAGACCTTAACTGAACTTCAGACTCTCAGTTCTTCAGCTCCCATCCCTTTGGCCCTCAAACCAGCATCCATTTTGTTGGACCCTCTTCCCCAAGTCAGACCCTGGGCCAACTTTAACTACAGGAAGTGGCCTTTATGGGTGGCCTAAGGGGAAGCCAGCCTACCTCAAACTCCACAGCCCCAGGCCTCGGGCCCCTGCCCTGCCTTTCCCCTCACTCCTCCAGTATTTCCTGCTTCTCTCCACATGTTTTCCGTCATCACCTTCTGCTTACCTTCTCCCATGGGTAGGTGCTCGCTCGTTTGATTCTCAGGCATTTTAGAACCGTGAGGTGGCAGCTTGTGTTAGTTTCCTATTGCTCTTGTACAAATCTCCATAAACATAGTGTCTGAAAACAACATAAATTTATTCTCTTACAGTTCTGGAGATGAGAGATCTAAAATGGGTCGGAAGGGTTGCATTCCTTCTCAGGCTTTGTGGGAGAGTCTATTCCTTGCCGTTGCCAGCTTCTAGAGGTTGCCTGCATGCCTTGGCTTGTGACCCCACCCCACTCCAACATCGTTTCTGTCATCACATCTCTTTCTTTGACTTTGATCCCCCTGCCTCCCTCTCATAAGGACCCTTGTAATTACTTACATTGGGCCCACGTGTATAATTCAGAATACTCTTCCCATCTCTAGATCCCTAACTTCATCACATCTTCAAAGCACCTTTTGTCACGTAAGGTAACATATTCACAGGTTCTGAGAATTAGGATGTGGACATCTTTGGGGGGGGGGGGCCTATCACACAGCTCTTGAAACTAGAGGGGTCACCTGCTTCAGCCTCAGTTTTCGGGCACAAAAAGTTTTCTTCCCCTCCCAACAACCCTCTCCCCTTTCCTTGGGGATGAAGTAGCAGCAGAGATCCAGGGAAGGGTGAAGGGATTTCCCAGAGGTTATGCAGCTACTGTAAGGGCAAATGGGGAGTACAGCTCTCCTTCTCACCATGCTAGACGGTCTCTCAGAAGGCTGAGAGTCACATTAAAATGGAAGAAAAACAGAAACGAAAAACTAAGTCTGTGTGGTGTGTGTGAAGAGGTGTCAGTATTGAGTAAGAAAAAAAAAAGTGCCCAACAGTGTGTATGATATGGTCTCATTAGCTTAAACGAGCTGCTTGTATATGCATTAACGTTGTGGCAGGAGACACAGGAAGCTTGTTATCTCTAGAGAGGGGAGTGGGGGGATGTGGAGGTACGTTTTACTTTATCCACATGTGTGCATTTATTGCTTTTATAATAAAAAATGAATACTGAAATGGGAGTCAAGATCCAGACAAAAGGAGAGAGTTCAGTTTTAAAGAGTTCTTAACTTGAAATTAAAGGGACAAATGATCTGGAAGACAGGCTGAAAGCAGACAGCAGGAGGGAGGCCGTGTTCATTTTGGCCAACATACGTGGCAGCCTTGTGGGCCTGTTTGGGGATGACTTCATTCCGGTTCCCAGCTCCTTTGGGGAAGATTCTCTTATTATCTAGGAGCAGAGTAGCTCAAAAAAGATTTGTGTAATGTCTTTAGGTTAAAAATCAGACGAAATATGGGAAACCACAGGATTTATCATCTGATGCTATTCCCTTTTCTTTGTGTTCTAAGTGTAACTTTGTGAACTTGTGGCTAGAGCCTTGGACTATTCTGACTTTACAGTGTAAGGAGAAATTTAGGAAAACCGTATTTCTGGATTAGTCTGAAGCAAATATGTTGATCCACTTTTTCCACGTTCTAAGGAAATAAACTGTGTGTACTGAGGCTTATAAAAGTGAGTTTCCCAGCAGAGTAATCCGCTTCCGGCTGCTCTTCCATGTGTGGCCTGTGGTGTCAGAAGGAGCAGAAAGCAAACTTGCCTTTCATTTCCCCGCCCCTTCCTCTTGCTAGAAAACTGTCATAATAAGCTAACGCCGCTGTAGCAGATTCAGAAATACAGGAGAACAAGTCGTCCATAACCCCACCACCCAGAGGTAGCCACTTTTAATATTTTGATGTTTTCATGTTTGTGTGTGTATTTATAAGCTTACTTGGGACTTTATAGCTTACGTTTTCATGTCTGTGTATGTATTTATAAGCATACTTGGGATTGTCGTAGGTATAGTTTGAGTTTAGTTTTTTTTTTTGTATGAGTCTAGTTTTAATTTAACCCAATGGATTGAATAGCTCCTCATGTCAT